GATTCTTCTTCCCCTAAAATGACTCAGACTTGCCACTCCCGAGGGAGTCGTTCCATATTGCATTGATTCTGGGAGCCCACGGTAATGCAAAGGCGTTACTACAACAGAGACCTTTTAAAACATTCCTTGCCAAAATTTAGGACTTTCTTTTCTTAGCTTTTAGAAATATCCTGATTAGTCTGGGTAATACTTGTCTGAGAAGGTCACAGGAGGATCCATCAGAACAACAGGCATTATGTTTCTGTAATTAAATATTTATAAATGTAAATGAATAGTTTGGAGGTGGGATCAGGTTCCCAAGATGGACATAGGCTACACTCATGATCCTCCTACTGCAGAACATGGCAATTTCCCCAGAATGGAGCTTTGTGCTGACAAAGATCCATCAAAAGGATCATCAGATGTCAGGGTACAGGTGTTAGTTTAAAAATCTCAACTCTTAAGACTCAGCATAATAGGAAGCCTAGTCTGCATTAAGACAGTTGCATCCCTGAAGCTGCAGTCAACATCACACTCCCTGAACCTCAGTGCTTCCTTTTCTGCCGGTCCAAGGGGAAAACTTCCAAGTCAGTAACAGCAGTGAGGATTTATTTGTGCTGCTAGAATTATTTAGGTGTACAAAACTGCACTGAAAAATAGCTTTAAAGAATTGACACAAGTGCAAAGCAGCAGCCTTCACCAGTGGTGAAAGTGAGGTAAATTTTGTTCTCAAGTTGTGCTTTAGTATTAATTTTGAGGATGTCTGCTCTGAAGAAGGGGCCAGTTTCATATTAAATAGTCCAGATACTGTTGCCTGTGTGTTTTGCCTCTCCTCTCTACCTGACTATACATTTTTGATGCCTAATTCACCAGTAATGGACTGTAAGCGGTGTTAAAGTTTACATTTGCCCTTTATATCTCACATACAACTGCCTAGGACCTTAAAGCAGATGTCTATCACAACAACGCCTGCTTTTAACTCACTCCAAGAAAGGCAAACTCTGAGGTTTAGCTGCTTCAGCCTCAGGAAAGGCTGGAAGTTCATCACATTTAACAAGGCTACCAGGCTGTATTCAGCAGTGCACCATTTTGCACTGGAGCTGTGACAGCTGCTGACTTCTAAGGCTTCCTTTGCATTTCAAAACATCTCCAAGCAAACAATTTCATGATGTTTGGCTTTGTTTTTGCCTAACAGTCACATTTCTGTTTGGCATCAGCTGTAAATTCAGTCTATTCCTTTGTTTTGGTATAAAGAGGCACAACAGTTCTAGTAACCTTCATCCTAACCTCTTCCCTAAACTTCGCAGTTCCGCTCTATCCATACACAAACTCCCACATATATAAGCTACTGGTTTGTGTTCTGTTCTCTCTGAGTCATGAAGTTGCCATAATAAAGAAAAATCCCAACAATATAAAGATGAACAAAAACCTAAGGACAAAGGCAACTAATTCCTTTTTTGCTCATGATCGACAAATTAAACTGCTTTACTATGATGTGCAATGTTTAGTGATTGTTTTATTAAATGCAGAAATACCTGCTCAGCTTCGTACCCATTCTGATTTAAAGTGCAACAGTTAAATCTGATAGTTCTTGTACATCCATATTTTGCAAGTGTTGTTCCTAGAATACAGGTCGTTCAGATTATGCCTTGCATTTGTAAAATGTCATTTTTTTAGTACCATTTTGCTTTATTAACTAAAATAAACTGTACAAAAAGCTGTAGAGTTACATTAGCTTTGAACAATGTAGGATACACGTTCTCTGCCAAACTTTAGTGTGCAAACATTTTACATTTTTTAAAGTGACAAAATTAAGCCAACCTTGAAGTCAGAGTTCATTACTACATTACAAAACAGGAGACTACATATGGCAAAAGAAATTTCCCACTGAAATCAACACCATTGTATAATTTTATTTCTAATTCTTAAAAAAATATAAATGAATTTAGAAGAGAATCACAGTATAAGGGCCCTAACATATTAGACCATTACAAGGTACATAAAAATAGAAGACACAGATTTCTTTGAAACTTTAATCCTTTGATTAAGCAGCAAGCATATCACTCTCCAGGCAAACACTGCTTAAAACAAACCCTACCCCCCAAAACAGGACGTGCAAACTGTATGCACATATTCTGCAAAGCACACAATAAAGACATTTTGCTATGTACATACTTATTTAGTACTACAAATGCTAGGAGTTCCCTACTGTGTGCTACAGTGTATGCAAATTAAGAAATACTACCCTACCTATCTCTGACCCTCCCTCCCCCCTTCAAATACAGCACCTTTGCCCAGTTATAGAATATTTAAACAAGAATAAACGGAATTACAATGTACTGAACAGTTTTATAGCAGTTGGTGGCAGCCAACTGTACTGTAACACCCAACATTCTGCATACTGAAGTCTATCGACAAGAGACAAGACAAAAATTAGCAAAGGTACAATACACACACCTGGGAGACTCAATGCTGAAAACAAAACAGAAAAGAAAAAAGAAATCCTGAAGATGAATCTTATCACTGTTAACACTTATACTGAGATACCTGGGATGTCAAAACGTACCAGAGAGGTTTTGTATTGGTTTGAAAGACTGGAGAGCAGCCAGCTTTGTGTGTAGCTGGTGAGAGGACACTTAAGACTCCCAGAATACAAGTTTCTGTGACCATGAATTCCTTGGTGCTTGTTTTACAATGCTGCTTTTCTTAGACAGAAGGTCATCTGATGCTCACATAGTGGCTAAGCATCTACTCTGATGCAAAAGAAAATTTCTAAGAAGGACCTTTTGTACAAGACCTCAGCACACCAGTGAAAGCTGTTCAGAAAGAGAAAAATCCCTCAAGTTTGAACTGAAAATATTTTTAAATGAAGAACTAAACCATAAAGGTCAAAACTTCAACTGCAATTCAGGCTACCACTACCAAACTTTAATGCTAGATTTTCAAATGGAAATAGGATCTGATACTATAAGAACTTCCCTTTGCATGTAAGACTGACCTTATCTAGCTGCTAAACTGATCAATAGACCATCCAATTTACCTGTGGAATAGCCTAGGGAGAGCACATTCCATTTTCAAATAAAGTCTCGTTTTAGTCAAGGGCAAATCTAGTTAATAATAGAACAGATTTAAAAGTATTTTTAAACACAATTTCAGCTATAAGCAAAAACAATTTTCTAAATAGTATGACAGGCAACAGGTTATTACATAGCCAAGAAAACATTTTTTTTCAATAGCTTAATTCAGATCACACAGTTTCAAACAATTTGCTACTCAAATTTGGAGCCTGGTTTACTTGGGGGGTAGAGGCACCTGCTTTTACAAAGAAAAAAAACAAACCCCACCCACCGAAACATGGTGGGCATCAATCAAGGTTTCAGACAAGAATGCAGTGAAAAGAATATCTTTCAAACTTCTAAAATTTGGAAGCACTAATTAATATCCAAATGCAGGTTTTACTGAGTAAATAAAATAAAACAAACAACTCTGCCTTTCCTCCTCCCCCCAGTACCCTCAACTCAGGTAATCAACTTAGCCAGAAATATAGCAGGAAGCAGAGGTAATCATGTAACAGTAAGACTGGGTTGGCAGCAGGTAACTCCTGTCACGATACTCTACCAGCACCACCAGCCTTTATACTTCCCTCATTAATTCTTAGGCAAGATACCAGCAATCTAACATACACGAACTGCAGAGAGTCGCTCTCAGAGGAATGCAATTTTACTTTACTTACATTAGAAGAACTAGTGGAATAACAAATTAAATTAATGGTTCTTGCTAGATGGTTCCTCTCCTGCCATCCCCCTGGGCGGCAGAAGCTGCTGCCTCTCTCTCCTGCCCAGCCCACAGGAGAGATTGCAGCAGGAAACTGGACTCCTGTTTTCGGTTAAATTCTATGAGGAGAACACGCATGAGATTTAACAAGTTTGGTACAATAGCTCATTGAGCCTTCAGAACACTCTGAAAGAGGGGTATTTAATAAGCCAGTACCTTTTTAAACACAAAAAAGTGTTCTGGGAAGAACATGAAGAGAAGAAACACCTACATTTTGCTTCTACTGTTATCTAAACAGGGCCAAAATTTCTGAACCTAAAGCCATTGTTTTCTTTCACTAAAAGGTAAAAAAAAATAAAAATAATCCACACACAAAAAACCTCCCGAACACTACATTTAAGTCTCCTACAATATTGTCTATACCTAGATTTGCCAGACTACATTCCTGTAGTTAGATGCTTGACTACAAAGAACTGTAATAAAATAAATAGAGTAAAAATCAGTTAAACAAAATCTTGGTGTGTCGAACATTTATTCATGTAAGAAGTTAGCTTCCTTCAACAGTTATTCACGTAGAAGAGGAGGGCTGTATTGTAGGCATTGTTCTGCTGTACAAGTCTTCGGAATAAAAATATTTTTATACAGGTGGTCATTCACGTTGTTCCATTTCTCATGATCAGCTTGCTCCTCTGGGAAACCGGTCTGCTACCTGTGAAGGCTTGCTCTTTTCTCCCCTTCATTACTTGGAACAAAAAAAAAGTCCACGGATACAATTTTTCAAATGTGGGAGTTAGCATAATTCTGCTCTTATTTCTTCAGTGCAGAGTGGACTGAGATTCTGTCTGAATTCCAATCAGCGAGGGTGGCTGCTGGCCGCTGACCGTGGTCAGCACTGGCCTGGGGTTCAGGCGAGGGGGCATGGAGTTAGCTGGGCGGATGAGTGGGGGGGGAGGCTGGTTTAGAGTCGGCCGCGGCTGAATAAATCGCGCCTGCTGTTGGAGGGGCGGAGGCTGGCGATGGAGAGCAGGAGCAGCAGGGAGCGCTGGGCGAAGTAACGGGGGCGGCTGATTTAAAGTTGCCATGGGAGCGGCAGGTGCTGGAGCAGATGCCTGTGCTGGAGGTGAAGGGCCTAAACACTGAGTGGCCGGAGTGCTTTGTGCCTGCACAAAGGACAAAGACAAGACCGTGTGAACAGCCATCCCGGGTGGAAAGTGACGCAGTTGGGCTGCCACTGTCCACTACACAGGAAACAGCATTTAAAAAACAAAACCAAAGAACTGAGAAGTTACTGAAAAGAAATCACCAACCAAAACATTATAGAGACAGCAGAACTACAAATATTTACGAAGCAGGAGTCTTCTTCTAGAACAAGAACTGTATTTTAACAGTAAAACAGTAACGTGATTGTCACTATCAAAGGTGCAGTCCTGCTCCCAGCTGGTTAACGACATTGGCTGAAGTTCTATGCAAGCTCATCATCATTCTTTAGAATGCGGTTTGCCACTCCACACCAGTTAACCTTACAATTTATCACTAAATAAAATGCTGTTCCTCAACCCATGCTTACTTATTTCTGGTACACAAAACACACCTCATCTTCTTCATCAGTGCTCTTTCCTGATGGCACATTAGAAGTATTTTTTGTGTCCTCCCCTAAAGCAGAAGCATCACCATTAGAAGCCAGGGTTCCTTGTTCCGCTTCCCATTCCTGCAATACCTCCTCTAAGTTAAACCGACGCCTGTAGTTTACAAAGAAGTTCTTCACTTGGCCAACAGTCTTGTTGCCAATTACATCTGCAATAGCTTGAAAATCTTTACCATATTTTCGGACACCTGGAAGGCAAAGTAAATAACATAGCTGTGAAGAATCAGTCAGACACAGCTACGTGTGATGTATTTATAGAGAGAACCTATGGGACCTGCAAACCAAGGACTCGCTAATTAGAAGGACTTCTCAATTAGGAGAAGGCCTCAATTTCCATTAAAACAAAGTAATTTTTAATTGCACAGCTATCAACATACAAATCAAGAACTTTATTAAGAGGTCATTACCCATTCTTCTTCAAAGATCCTGGCTTACTCACCAAGCCTCTCAACCTAAAACCACAGAGATCTGGCCTCTGACAAATAAAGCAAATCCTTCAGCGTGTTCACAGTGAAGTCAGAAGCCCAAGACCAGCTCAAGACAGAAGGAAGGGTGACTGAGCATGTGTGTATAGCTGTAAACAGGGTATAAGACTAGGAATGTCAAGTGACAAACATTGATAGCTTCTACAGGTTCCCTCCATGCCAGCTGCAGATGTTTCCTTTCCCACAACCAGTGCAGCAGGAGGGGTAGAGGGCAGCAGCTACTGGACCAAGCACAGTGCAGAACAGAGGGGCAGAGTTCAGTAAGTCACAATATACTGCTTATTCCTGCACTTGTAACATGCTCTACTGAGGCTACGAAGAGCAACCGGAAAACAGTCACCTGACCAAGTATTTTTAAAGCTTTCATTCACTGTTTGAACTGGGTTGAAAAATCTGGGGCATTGGGACGACCACCTTGGGGAATGTAAGCAAATATAAGCTACTGGTGTTTCTTTATAAGGCATCTCAGCACAAGCCTCCAGGATCAAATCCCTCAGCAAGCAGCAGCATGACAAGAGATCTTTGCATCGCTCTTTTCATTCACGTTTGTAACTGACATGAGTAGTCACTTTTGTTTGCAAGCACTTTACAAGAAAATCCCAATATGTACTTTTATTAAAGGTTCTAAAACTACATTTGCATGTAACACAAGCCCCCAAATACAACATTCCATGGTTTTTAACTTAAAATTGGAATTAAAGTTCATTGCTTTTTGCTGTATTTCGAGTCTCTAGTTCCTCCTCTTTCCTGCTTAAGAAAAAAAACCTTCAAACTCTCCAGCACACTAGAACATAGCTATTAGCTGCAAAAAGTATACTTTCAATCAGAAATGTCCAAAAGGTTGGAGACCAAAAGAAATAAACCAGTTTTATTCCAGACTAAGCAAACAGAAGACTAATTTTTTTTTTCCTCTCAGCTATGCATGAGTGAATTACAATTTGACTTTTCCTGTGAAGCTCCTGATAACTGAACTCATTCGGAACACATTACAGCGCTTAGAGGACAGGCACTCTGTCTCATTACAGGAAAAGAAATTTATGCCTGATTTCATGCCTCACTTCAGAAAATGAAGCAAAGGATTCAGAAAGTGAGAGTTGTTTCAAATCTGAAACCTATGTTCCTTTTCAACTTAATTGTGAAGAGTGTGACCTTCAGCTTGTTCTGCTCTTTTCTACTTTCCTCGTTATTAGGCACTTCTGATGTGGTAATGTACACTCACTGCAATTTAAGAGAAAAGTTCAGCTCCAGGATAGTAACAATTTATATAGCTGAAGCTGTCAAGAGCCCAGCTACATTATTTAAGATCTTTTCTGGGGCATACAAAAGAATACAACCATCCTGATTGCAAGAACCTTGGAAAGATATCAGCGCCTTGTGGGAGGGCATGTATCTAGGCAAAGCAAAGACAGGAATTTGGCTCTGTGCTTTATCAGTTGTACAAGGCATCAGCTATGCTCCTTAAAAGCTGTGTGCGCCCACACAACACTCCCTCCAGTGTTTTAATATTCCTTGACTGCCCTGCTATTACCACCCTTACTAATTTATAACGAACATTAAATGTCCACTGCAACATATCTAACATCCTGTAGAAGGAATCAAGGGAACAAAGTGCCCAGCAGTACACAGCACATTTCTGTTTTAAACCTAATTTAGACTTTTAGCCATTTCAGCCTTTTCTGTTGCTATGCTGTCTATACTTCTTCCCTACCTTAATCTGCAAAATGACAGAGCATGTTAGCTAACTTCAACTGAAGTTGTCAAAAATAAGGTCTTAAAGCCTATTTCCAACCAAACAGCTTGGAAACAAGTTACCTTTCCTTCAGTGAGAGCTCAACTCTAAAAAAAAAAAAAAAAAAACCTAAAGAAAATAAAATTTCCCTAGTTTAGCTACACGCAGCACTATTCATTCTGGATTCTTTGCAGCGTGTCATTTAGTACTGCTCTCTCATCACCACAATGACTCCTAGCGAATGATGTAGTAAAATCCTTTCAAACTGCATCAGAAATGGAAGAAATTCACTGCATGTTTATGGAAGTTTTATGTATCAGGTGCTGGCATATCTGTAATAGTTAATGCCAACCCATCATCCCTTTCAAACAGGTGCATATTATGTACACATCCTTACACAAATTCAGTGTAAATACCACCCAAATTATTTCTCAAGTCTTTAATCCATTATTCAATAAAACCAATTTTATCATGTTGCTGAAAGTGAAGCTCAAAAAGGACAGCTGCATGGCCTCACTTCACATGTATGAATGTTTTCCTCCCAGCTCATCTGAAAGTTGCCCTGATCATGGGAATCCTTCAAGCTCTTCAAAAACTTCACCCACCTGCCAAGGTGCACTGGAACATGTGAATGCTTTTGACTACAGCATTTCATCTTGAATGTCTAGCTCTGAGGAACTCATAAAACCAAGCCTGATGCTCTCTACAGTGCTTAACATTGTATAGCACAGCAAACACTGGAGAGGCTCACCAACTATCAGCCTGGGTCCAAAGCAATATAATACAGCACAACAATAAGGCAGAAATAGTTAAGGGCAACCTCTGGGTTATGCAAGCTGCAGTTTCACTGTGATGGGATTACAGTGCTCCTGGCAACTACCTTAGATAGGGTTAGATCCCAGTTGTCTCAACTGTTTTTCACTGCAATGCTATGGAAGTCATGCATTGATTTTCCATTCACATTCTGTTGTCTTGAACAAGTGTTAAAACATTTTTGCAATTGCATTTTCATATGGGCAAGATCTTAGTTTGAAAATATGATCACGCTCTACATTTCTATACATAAAGTTTGTAACATAACAACACTTTATATGATGAACTAGCCCATTTCATTCAGTAAGTGTTCAGACCGGATAAATTTTACTACAAATATACTGGTTCAGAGATCATGAGTCTGAGTCCAGAACACCACTACAGGCACCCACACTGCTTTTAAGATTACACACAGGTCTATTTTAAGATGGGTGTTTCATTACCTCCTCTTTAGTTCCTGGCAATCTCTTGAGATTAGCCCGCAGATAAGAAGTTCTTTCATGTTTAGGAAGAACAGTACCAAAATTATATTGCTGCAGATTATGATTTCTGTGGTTGGATTTAATGTCCGAATTCATATGAACAAATCACAGAAGTGCCACCTACCTGCTTACTGCACTTATGATTTCTGTGAAATTATTAAAAGCACATGTCAAAACATATCAACACATTTGATGAAACAAATCTATTTTAAATATACAAACTAGATGTCCCCATGCTCAAGTCAACTTCCAAGCTCAAGCCTAACACATTATAGTAGTTTTAAGTACAGCAACCATGGCTACCTTCTTCTAAAAACAAAGCCAGGGCAAAACACAGTGTGGCTCCTTCATGCCTAGGTCTACTAGCTCAAGCAATTATTTTGAAGCAAGAGATCAGAGTCCTTAGCCTGAGGGACAGGAGGCTAATGCCTAGAGCACTCTCATTCCATGAGGGTGTAGGTAAGGGAAGGATAATAAGAATACTTCGTTCCTGTCTCTCTCCCACCTCCATTTCATACAGTGACAAAGGGGACTATAAAGGAAACAACACACAAAGAAGTGTATGTAAATTCAGTGAAAACAGATTTCTTTCAGAAGGCCTGAATTCTTACCCCACACTTAAGTACTGCAGCTGACTAACTTCATAAAACAAAAACATTCCCTGGAGAAGAGATCAGAAGACTAGAACTCCTCTCCCCAAGGAGTCACCACCAAACCTTGTTCTCTTTTCTCATGCTCCAGTTTTATTATTTATCTTGTCAGTCACATAGTGCCATAGCTTAACAAAAGCAGAATGTATTCATACCACTTCCCAAACTGATGCTTAGCGAGAGCTCTGATAACTAAACTATGAAAAGGCAAGATGGTTTGAATCCTTTCATGCTAAGGCAGGCACAATGACCCTGGGATTTCCCCAATTCTCCAGCAAGCATTCTACTTACTAGATTATCGTATTAATGACAGGCATTTCCTTCACTTGCATTTGGGAGCAAATTAGTGAGCTATTGAGCAATACTGAGAGGATGAACTTAGGGCAGAAAACTGTTTGGAGATGCAAAGTCAAGCCTGAGGCATGCAAGTCAAAAGGCATGACTTCAGACACACCATGCTCTTCAGTATTTCCATTCACACTTCAAAATAAACCTAACTTTAGGTTCAGTCATCTGAGTAGTGACTACCGGGGAAGGCACACCTGACCTCTTTACACTGATATCCTGATCCACTGAACATTTTATACTAAAATTCAGCCTTTCATTTTAAAGGTGAAGAATGCAGAGAAATAAAGCAAATATATATATAACTGAGCTGAGCATATTATCTTTATAAAAGATAATCCACAGAAGTGAGTCAATATATAGTGTCTTCAAGACAGCATCTCCAGATATTTTCCTTACATGTTCCTTGATTGGGCAGGGCATGCTAAAGCAAGGCAAGAGTCAGTTTTCCTTCACAGAAATGAAATTAATGTAAATTAGCTATACGAGTAGCCTACTAGAAAATTCTGGGCTTTTTTCCCAAATAAGGCTGTTAGTCAAGTATCCACATACAGCTTCAGACTCTTACAGGCCTCTACAGGGTAGATATCTGCTCTCTTATTCCCTCAAACAGAGAAAAGCAGATTTACTGCTGCTTTTTCCTACTTTAGGAACATGGAGATGTCTTACATGTTTGCTTCCAATTTTATTATTTCAACTATTACTTCAGTCTTCCACTTTAGAGAAATTCATGTAAGGTGATTTAGAAGATGATGGAAAGGACATTTTGGTACTAATACAGTTGTTAAACCCTGCTTAGCTTTTCTCTTTGAGATTTAATATGGGTAACAAAGACTAATGTCATGTTGCTTGAACGAATGCCCTAAATATTCTCACTAGTTTTGCTGCTTTCCTGGTGACCAGATAAACTTTAGCTTTTCATTAGAGGGAAATAGAAACATAAGCCTGAGTACCTCTTAAATCCTTTGCATCAGATTTCAATTTGCTGCTACTATTAACATACCTTGTACTGCAAGAAGCTGCTCTTCTGTGGTCCAACGGGCATTGATTTTCTGATTAGACTATTAAAATTAGAAAAATGGCACAAAGATCATTAAATTGTTTCAACAGCTGCAAAATATCTGAGCATCAATGTGTTTTACTTGCACTACATTTCGCAAAATAGGTAAAAATCTCTTGCTTATAAGCCATAAATGTTTTGTTTTCATGAAGAGGAAGTAGTATTTATGAATTTGAGTGTAAAACTATACCAATACTTTTGCCTCTGTTTTACTGCAGTTCATAGTATCAGCTATATCATAACTTATGCACAAGCTAATGATCTTTATGCAGACAGAACTTGAATTTATAGTTACATTTATCTAAACTATTAGGACTTGGTGTCTAGAGCGTTTTGCATTCATGTTATGTTTTATATCCAAGCCTTTAAAACAAGCAAAAAGAGAACTTCAGTGGTAATAAATCATTCACCTCAGATGCCCAAATGTATATGTAGTCATGTTTTCTCACAGAACATAGCATTTATTGCTGGCAATCTACTTGATCTATTTTTAAGCAAAACCCCCTTCATGTATCAGGGCTCAATTTTGGCTCCCTATTATTATGAACACACATGACATGTCATTTTTTTTCTGCTTCTTTATTTATCCATAAAAAAAGCCTACCACTAATTCCTTGTGGAGAAGCCAGACTCACCCCTGCATGTAATTCAACGGATCCTGTTTAAGCTGCTGCTGAAATGCAAATGTTATGCTGCAGCAAAACACATTTCTGCAGCTTCCCACTAATGTCAGTACAAGGCCACAAGTTTTAATATTTATTCTGACTTACCTCAGGAGGTTTGAATTCTTCAATCCCGCCTTCCATTTTCTGTTTAAGTGCACTGTTTACTTGCTTAGCATTTTGAACCTTGGTCAAAAACAACAAAGTTAATCAGCTCCACAAAGAAAGTTGGTCACTTTACACATATATCTTCACTAGGATTGCCACAAGTGTACCTCCTAAGTTAGAAAGAGAAATATTATGGTTTAAGGCTTCACTACTTTTAACTGTTAAAAAATAATAATTAAAAACACACAGAACAGTTTACTATGGAGAAAAAAAAATTTAAGCCAGTCTTTCAAAAGAACAGTTTGTCTGCAAGAATATTAAAAGTAGGACATAACAAGCAAGTTTTGATACTGATGCATATGTTCTTGAAGAATGCAGAATCCTCTAGACACAAAACTTGACTCTTAGAAATGTGAAAGGTACTGCATACATTAACTTCTTCCTTCTCCAAAAAGCACTTCTAAAAACCAAAAAGATTCATGAGCTGTTTCCAGTTAGTTCCTTCTGGAAATTAACCTTAGATCATTTTGATTTTCTTTGGGGTTGATTCTTGAATTTATATTAACTATTTCTTAGTCTATAAAAAGGAGAGAGCTCCCAAATTGTACATATACATGTTTATGAACCACTTAAATCTGAGTGATGCACACAACGTAACATAGGTAAGAAAAGAGTTTTGCATACTATGGTGCACAGCTATTACAAGTGTTCTTAAGTATGGACACAAAAGCAGACAACTCAGTGGGAGATTCCAATGCTGCATCTCTGAGATCACTGCAAGAAAAAAAAAAGAGAAACACAACCTCAAGGCTGTAACTCACCTACACTTAGGCTAAAGAGTGAAACCCACCTATGCTATTTTAGCCCCAGAGTCCTGCTGTGACAGAAAGAAGCATATTTCTCCTGTAAAAGAACATAAGGGAGCAAAAACCCCATGAAACCCTTTATTCACTCCATGATTTTGCAACATGGCAGCTCTATAAGGAGGCAAAAATTCCAGGAGATAAGCCTTGACTTTGTGGCCCCATCGCTCCTAGAAAGCAAACATGCAGATCCTGCTGTACCCTTAGAAGCTGAATAGATTCTGTTTAAGTGCCAGAAGTTAACTTCTTCATGCAAAGGACACAGGCAATTGTCCTCTTAAAGGTTAAGACTACAAAGCTTCTCTAAATTTAATAAGAAGTAGAAAACTTATCAATTCAAACAAAGAAATAACTAGGCCCATGATTCCACACAGCTCCCATACTTTCATGGTATGTGGGGAAGGACATCCAGAAAAAGAGCTACAATTTCAAATGTAACAAATGTAACTTCCCTCTGCTTCACTGGTCTTATTCTCATCTGTCACACAAATACTTTAAACGAAGTTAAAAAAAAAATCAAATGTGAATTTGGATTTTTTCCCGTTCCCCAAAATCTGTAGCACTGTTTTCATGCCATACTTCCCCCCACTTTTTTTCTTTTTTTTAGAGAAGGCATCTTGTTTCATTTGATCTAAAAGGGCAGATAAATGTAAAAAAACCAAAAACCAAAGAACAGCTAGTATTCAGCATTTCTGGTGATAACTGTGGAACAAAATGAGGAAGACTCACATTAAAGAAGTTTCAGAATCTTCACAGATAATCTTCAAAACCATTACAATCAGAACAATCTGAGATGAAAAAAAAAACCAAGACCAATAACCCATGGTACCTGTCGCTTTAATGAGATTAGTTCCATATCCAGCTGTCTAAGAATTGTGTTGGCTGCATTGGGACTACAGGAAACAGCTATCACATCTTCCTGGGTCAGGTACATGCCTTTTGGTGGACGGCATTTGGAACGCTGGGAATGATGGCGATGCTGCAAGCTCTGATACTCTCTTCTACCCAGACCTATTTTGCTGGTCTGAACAGGCTGCTCATTATTGCCCTTTAATTTACAAGAAATAAATCATTAAAGAATAACAGTACCTTGTATATGACTTCATTAAAAAGAATCAAGTAGCATTGTAATGTCATATGCAGGACAAAGAAAACCTAAGCTAACATCCTACTCTGCATGAAGCATCCAAAGAAGTCTTGCAGATGAGTTGATGGAGTGTACCAGTCATCTGCTTGCTAAGCCTGCATTAGTTTAAGGAGGGTCCATTTTCCAAACCTTTTTTTTTAACATGGCTGCAAATACAATAAATGTTATAGAAATAGCAGTCTGAATACTGTCAAAGAGGGCAAAAATTGACAACCTCTTCTGTACACAGAAGGCAAGTAATACATATATATGTATATTATGTCTAAAACAAGTAATCAGTGACTTTACACATTTATTTCTGGTCAGATATAAAGAGTTCAGGTAAAAATCAAGGGAGAATGACAAAGCCAACCAGGACAGGCAAGAATGCAAAAAGACACTTCTCCCTTCTGTAAACACTCCACAGAAAGTGACTGTGGTGTTTCCCTTGGGAGAAGGAGGGAGTGATTTGAGATTTGGAAGAGAGAAGATAGATGTACTTTTGCAGTCATTACAAAAATCGATGTCATTTAGAAAACTTAAGCCTTTATGGTTTGCTTTTTTTGGAGACAAAAGGGATAGCAAAGAGATGAAGTCTTTGAAACTGCTGCTTTGATGTATTTGGACACCTAAACATTTCACTTTGTCTGGTATGGGCATGGCTGCACAATGGCTAGTCTGCATGTGTGTGACTTCTTTAGAGCAACCAAATAGGTTCCCTATACACCAGGAGCAGAAACACAAAAATTACTTTCTCTGCGAGGATTTTCCAATTCAAAGCAATGTTTAGTACCAGAACAGAGACAGAATTCAGGCTTTTTGCTATGTCAAGCAGCTCCCTACTGCTCCTCCCTGCTGGCATCCATGCAGGTTAAGAAGAAGTGGTCATCTGATCACAGTGAATAGAAAATCAAGTGCAGCAGCCATTATTATGTTCTGTAGCATTAGTACAGATCAGCAAACAGTATTTTGTTCTGCTATGCTTGACCTTCTGCCATGTTCTCTTCCCAGCTAATGTAACAGTCCACAGACTTCACAGAGGCCATCTTAAAAGCACTTAACATATTTGCTCTTCCTTGGCAAGTTGATACAGAGCCTTACATCTCTGACATCTAAAAATCCCAGGGTTAAGTTTACTTCTGGCCCATTTACACCATTTGGTTTTAGTTCTGCATTGCTCTTTCAGTATGAAATTGCAGTTCCTGTCTGTTCAATATGGATTTAAAGCGAAAATATTCTCTCAAGGTTTTGTCTTGCCAAGCTAGAGAGTTTAGCTTGTTTTAGTTTTCTCTGGTAACAGAAAGTTTCCATTGCTCTGTGAGTTCAAGCAGCCTAGTCAGTTTGTACTTTGCTTAGGAAGTGAAAATACACAAATCCTACTAGAAGTATTAGATCATAAATTTATCTTATGTAGAGCCACATAGCACATCAGAAACTACAAACCTATTTGTCCTGTTCCTAGAAGTCTATCAACACATTGCTTTCATTCTGGACTGCATGTAGTGATTCAAACAATAACCAAGTCAATTGAGCAAAACAGCCCTTATTTAGACATGACTCAGGCAGCAGTTCAAATCAGTAGATTGCAAGAGCACTGTCACAACAGCAGAATGAAAAGTAAAAAGGTTCATTATCAGACCTTGTGCCATTTCAAGTTCTAAAAAACATATCCTCCCATGTTAAAAAAATAATCTCAAACTTTTACAGAAAGGGTAGTTGTAATTGTCCTTTTTTTTTCCCACTAAGGCAGCTAGATAAAGTGATACACTGAAGGTCACTGCAAAGCTTGGAACAGAATCGAAACCTACCAGTTTCTTACTCAAGGTCATTTTTGTCAGAACTACAAAGTTCCATTAATAATCCTAGACACAACTTAGCAGAAATGTTGAGGTTTTGCACTGCTTCTCCTCTCATATTCTCAAGAAGCATGAACTGTTGCATTTCAGGAAAATCACAAATGCTTTAAGTTGATCAAGAAAACAATCAAATGTTTACACACTTTAATGTGTTTTTATAGTCTTGTTCATAAACAGCTTAACGTTTACAAAAAGAACCCCCAAAAAAACCCAAACCTAAACACACCTCAAATACAGCACAGTAAGTGCTCATTAGGAAGACAAAATGTTTTTCTCTACATTTATTAGTAGGAAGCATCTCAGTAAAACCACTTACTAGTTAAATGCATCACCTCACTGTGGCCTTGAACAAACAACAAAAGTTGTTCTTGGAAAAATGTAACTTAATTTTAAAATTCAAAGAAAACATTTTGTTTCAAATCATTCACAATCAGTAAAACTGCAAATATATTAACAAGAGTGATGCAGGGAAAATACTGTTTTGCTACGTTGTGAGAGCATATCTTTTTAAAACTTGAAGATCTCTCAAGACATAGCAGAGGTTACAAGAGATGCATTTACATCCACAAAATGGAAAAAATGAGATAAAATTTTGTTTCAGTGAGAAGTTTCAAGATCTTGATCACCTAAAGATCCTGTGATTTCAGCAAGCAGCAAGCTAAACCTCTGTATTACAACTTGATCATCACAGTAACACGTTCACAAAAACAAACAAACTGACATTCACCGTTAAGCTATCTGTTACCTCCTTTTTGGCTTCTTTTTTGGGATCATAATCACTATCATTTCCATCCATTGGATGAGCTTCTTCTATGTCATCATCACTAAAGACAGATTATAAGAAACTGGTTACTTCAACTATTTTTTAACCCCAAATATAAGCATGTACCAGGGTAAGACCGAATTATCTACTCTAAATATATAGCATCTCAAAGTTATTTGTAGTTTTCCAAACTGTAACTGACAGCTGTTACAAGCATTTTTTCTTTATGGTAAACAAGCAAATCCTAAACTATAGCTTCAGAATTACTTTAAGCAGTGCTGATACTGCTACCAAATAATCTGGTGTCACCTTTCTTCAACCACTTGTGCCAGTGCAAAGTCTTACATGGTCAACTATACCAAGGCTAGAAATAACCTCTCATTTGTTAACTTTAATAAACCAGTTTTCAAACCACTGCACCAGGTGGATGAGCAAAACCCTTGCTGAAGTCTGTGAGGAGCAAAAAGGGACAGCATATGATGGAAAAACACAGGACTGTTTTTTCACCAGGGCTCAAAGTTTAGCAATTTGCAGAAGGGAAATGAAATCTGCTCAATTAAATCAAAGAGAAGATGTTGAAAACAAACCAGTTAACTTAGCTGAGTCCAATCCAGTCACACTGACAATACAACCTTTGAATAAATTAATTTAAAGACACCACAAAAAAAATCTAGTTAATAACAAAACTCCCCAAAATGCTGTATTGGAAGTGAACTGATTCTAGCCTGTAACTTTTCAGAAATAGGGTCAACTAAATAAGCATATGAATTTTAGATTTCAGGAGTTATTTTCAATAACATATAATCAAAAAGATCCTTTTGCTCCAGGTAGGCACTTTTCCATAGCTATAAAATTATACTGTCCAATATAAACAGATTATGTTACTTATACATTCAATGTATTATATCACTTTCTAAAAAGTGCAAGTTAATACTCAAGTACACTGAGCACAATATAATTTTGATTTCACAGTAACTAGGAGAAACATTATTCCCTTCTATGCAAGACAATGTAAAACCATTTTGAGCTCTAATTCTCTCTGACTGAGAGCAGATCTAAGGCTCCTAAACAAAGGTTTTATATAAAGTTTTGTTATAAAACAATACTTGGGAATTCTGGCTGCTACAGCTTTTTACAGTGGTTGATATTTGTGTTTTAATTTCATTTTAGTTTAAAAAAAATCTTAAAAAAAATAAATCCCAGAAACCCCCAAACCCACAAACACACTTTCCTCTCCACACAGTAATAAAGGGTTAAGACTTCTCAAATTAAGCACTATTTCTAAACCACATTCCTAGACTTCAGGTTCTTTTAAATCCTTGTTTTTACACTTATCCATTAAAGCACTCACACCTGTTATTACAGCTCACACACACTGGAGTGATACAGTTCCTAAAGCACAGACACCAAACCCCATTTTTGAAGCAGAGACATCACAACAGAGGCTCAAACCTCAAACCAGGGTATACACTGAAACACAATGGCTAGAAATTACTCCACATCTCTACCTAGGAAGGCTTCAGTCTCTGGTTAGCTACTTAACATCAAGCTTACCTGTCACCTTGATTATTTCTATTAGCTAGTTTTCGAGCCTGTCGATCCATCAAACTTGTCCTAGACCGAGTTTTTTTCCAAGAATAGTAGTATTTCACAAGGCTTGCAATAGTCTTGTCTGGAAGCTAGAAGAATTAGTTCACATATTGTATTAACACTTAAAAATTAAAATTCTACCCAAGATTACAATTCTGCTTTGTTTACAACCACCTTTAACAAAATATTTCAAATGCACTGGTAACGTGGAAAGGAGGGATGTGTTTCATATACATTTTTAAAAAGGGGGAGGGCTTTTTATGTTAAGAGTGAAGCAGCTGTATGTCCAAGAGACATGATGAAATTAAATCGAATCTTTCACTCAAGGCTGTTCCTGAAGCTTTTACAGACAAATCAACGTGAAATTTTAGCCCAACAGAAGCCTTTGTTCTTGGCGCATCTCAGCTGTTTAATGCGTTCGATTAAAATATTACTTTACCATTTGCTGGATCCTGTGAAAGCTCTTTCCATGGAAGCTAAATGCTTGTTCAAATAGGACTTTATCTTCAACTGTCCATTCATCAGGGAAAGGAGTGAAGTTAGGGAGATCCGCAAGGGACTTCTCAATATTGTGTTTATGCCAGAACAACATGCCGAGAGCCTTTGAAAAGAAATAGTCCCTCTTTGGATTTAGTCAACTTTCTAAAGAGTTGAGACAAGTTAAATAAAAACCAGGTGATTTATTTATTTAAAATAAAATTTGACGGTCAGAACACCTTCTCAAAATGTATTTCCAATTTTATTGGCTATTTACGATAGGTTACTAAACTCTTTGGAGACAGTGAGCACATCTGCACTTTATTGATGGTATGAAAACCAGACAATTTAAGGTTGGCATGGCAGCAGAGATTCAGAACTAGCACAAACTAGGCCAACAGGCTCAAATCTGACCTGTTTTCTTACTTCACGAGCATGTATCACCTACACAGCTTCTTATAGGCCTTTATTACCAGCCCACTCAAAAGAGAAAATAAAAATACTTTTCAGAAGCCAGAGGATCATCCAAAACACAAGTCTGAAAGCTCAAAATGAGAGTGGTCTTTCTACAACTCTCCAATCCGCAAATAACAGCATGGCCACTTCCATGTCATGTGCACCTAATAAGGAATGGAAATTTAAATATACTTTGTTACATAACTTCATTTCTCAATGTTCTAAAAGAATTTTATGCTCATTAGACGTTCTGCCAGAGAGTCATTGACGGATTTGAGGCCAAGTCTGGCATGGAAATTGGAAATGTAATCCACTCTGTTTCAATCATAGAGCACAGACATGATCACCAGTTGTCTCTCCAACCCCTGATTTCACATCATCTAATAAGCTGGACAGTGCAAACTTCTTTTCCTGTTATAGTGACAAGTGACTAGCACCTCTTGCAAGGTAATTTCTGTTCCACTGTGAACAGTCTGCAGATATTTTGTGCCAGAAGTTATTTCAAAAATTCATCTCTTTTGCAGACTCGAGATCCATCAGTTCCCTCTCTCTCCAAACAAAAGCCAAGATATAAATGAACATCACCAAAACACAGGTATTCTGGACATTGTAACACTGGCAACTTCTTTTTGAGTTAGAAGTTGAGGTGCTATTATGAGCTTCCATCCTCCAAAACATCATCATACAACTCGTTTGCACTTGCACACCGCATATTTTTTTGCAATAGGTAATCTCACTTTTACACAAATTGGTTAGTTTATGAAGAAAATTGCAACAGAACTAAGTGCAGACCAGCAAAGTTTCATCCTTAGGTTTTATGGAATGGTGACTCAAGGTTGTTAAAGAAAAAGCAAACTTGTTTCTTATTCTCAGACCTAGATGCTGAGTCTGTTTTTCTGCCTCTGAGAAAGCACTCAAAGTTGGTTTGCCTTTTTTTTAAAAAAAAAAATGCAAGAAACTTTTTCAGTGCCATCTCTATCACAATTAATGGTTCAAAATTGGACCATATTTGCATTTAAATGTTAAACATTCAATTTGTAAGCTGCTTCCCTGAGAAATTCTTTAGCTAAATATACACACACAATTGCATGACATGCCCAGTGTATCAAAAAACATACCAAACCTTTCAAAAGTGCACATTACAAGCTGAGCATGTCATGAAAACAAAGAGCTCAATCTTTTGCAGAGAATCCAGACCACAACTGTATGCAGATCCATTTAACTGCAGTGTTTGCTGCCGTGCCTGAAGAGAAACAGTGTTAATTAATGGTAACCAAAGGGAAAAACTAAAGAGTTGTGTTATAGTTTTATATACGTTAAAAAAATACCTTTAGATGAGCACTCTCATTCCACAGCACTTACCTGTTCCACATTGTATCCATGTTTTTCCTTTGCTATTGCTATATATTCATCCACTGTAACAAAGCAATGCCAGAATTATTCTTTAGTACTTTTAGCTCTGCTGTATGACACAGACCTACCCATCAAACATGGGAAAAGAGTCTCCCCATGCTTTAACACACTGCATAGGCCCAGGCCCCCAAAACTTTACATATACTCACATCTTTACTAATAATAAATAAACCCACTGACTTTAATCCAACATTTAATTTTATAAACTTCCTACACAAGCTAATTCTGCTTTCTTTCACATTTTTACTACAACAAAACCACAGAGACTCATAATTTATTTATTTAAAGCAGGGACTAGCTGGTTATTTAAAGGCTATGCCTTTTTGGAACCCACTTCTGGGTTAGTTTTAAACTGAACTACTTGTACCTTCCATATTCCCAAACATGCTAAAAATTCATTGATCCTGTATCAATGATTACTCATATCCTCAATATAGTTTTCACTGACCAACATAGAAAATATGAAAATTCAATAATTAGGTTATCAAATTCACCAGTAACATTTTTAAAATCTATTTAGCCACACAAAGCCAGCTTTGAGTTGAACACTTTTCCTAATTTTGCCATTATGTCCTGCTATTTTGCTCTTCAATGGGTACATTTTTAGATTTTAAAGAAACAAACTCTTCCCATTCGCCTACAGTTCACAATAAAGTAGCAACTAAATTGTTAAAAGGAGGCATGATTAAGAATTATAACCTCCTTATTCAAATGGACCAGAGATGTCCTTGCCATGAACTGTTGCAGCAAAGTTGACTGTACTCTAAAGGAACAAAGGAAGTGTTTAACAAGAGTTGTAGAAGACTTTATTTCTAACTGTTCTGTAGCATCAGAAGATACCTTCCCTCAAAAGCAGCAGGACACAAACCTCTAACTAGTGGTATTAGGTAGAAACTGTCCTGAGGACCAGGTTCTCATGACTGCATCCTCGAAGTTTACTCCCCTGTATCACATATGGGAAATTCTAGCATAGGAGACAGGTTTAAAGTAGATTAAACGGATAACTGAACACATTTAGTCAGATGACTCCTGTATTTCAAGTCACTTTTGAAGGGAGAAAACATTCAGTTCTTCCTTATATGACAGCAATAATAATTTCTCCTTGAACTAGGCCTCAACACATCTTTCCTGAATTTATCCACTGCAACTCCTTTCCTAGAGATTTAGAGCAGCAAGCTCCATGCTCAGATACTTTACTCTTTTATTAATAACTAAAGGTTTCACAGACAGTGGTGATGATAATGCAACACAGGCAGTGTGATTTGAACAAAGACTTAACTAAAATAAGAGAAGGTGATGTTTCCTTTCCTTGGAGTTATCTAAACGAACAAAAAATAAAAGAGAAGAAGTTTTGTGTTTAATTTACTAATTTTCCATTTAACTGTGAGTAAAATAAAGAGCAAACAGGCACATCAGAAACAATTATTTAGTTATACTCAAGCATCCAAATTCCTAAGCAGGTAAGGACTTACACTTGGCATCTGGAATATTATGATACGGAGACCATACAAGCATCCCTCCATTATCTTTATCAGTGTATTTTGTGGCACCTGTAAAAAAACAAGTAAGTCTCAGTATTTAGAACTATGATCTAGAGAGCAACTATGTCAGAGCAAGCAAAAGCTAACCATATTAAGAAGTCCAGCCCAGCTACTAAGGGGAGGGAAAAAAAGAAAATTGTTAATCCCACATTATTCTTTCAGACACTGAATGGCTGAATTTGAACACTACTCTTAGAAGGTTCAAGCATATTAGACAGGATCCTGGTTACCACACTTAAACCATGGAAGTGCATTGCTAAAGTTGGAAGGAACCTCATCTAGTTCCAACCCCTTTGCCACGGGCAGGGACATGCAAGACCAGATGTCTCAGAGGCCCATCCAACCCGGCCTTGAACTCTTCCAGGCATAGGGCATCCAGAACTTCCCTGCGTAACCTGTGCTGGTGCCTCACCACCTCATTGTGAGGAATTTCTTCTTTATATCTAATCTGAATCTACCCTCTCTAAAGTTGGGCAACATAATATTTAGAGGTACCTATGATTGTCTATTAGTACTCTAACATTTATCACTGTCACAGGCATATCAGGACCTACTGTGCTAAGTTAGGGTTCTTTAAAACAAAAACCCTGATAGGAGGTAGAATACAGTAACCATTCCTGATCCCTTTCAACAAGGAACTGTACTAACAACTATGCCAGAAGCAATTCTGTTCATCTCACTCTAGTTTTGGTTTTCCTAACCATATAATTCATAGCCAACCAAATTGCATAGCTGTTAAAGTAATTTTTCATTCTGGTTTATTTGTTCGTGCTTCACCTCCACCACAGTGTAGCAAGGGAAGCACTCCAAGTTACCTAACCTACCAGGACAGAGCAATACTGATGCAAATATGTACAAAGCACTAAAACAGAGCATTTGATTTTTGAACACACGCTGTAAAAGAAAGGAAACTCCTCAATACTGGAAAAGCAATAATTAATAGCTGCTTTCCATTACTATTTCACAAACGTAGGCTACTACATAAATCCCCTTATAATCTATTTGTCTGTAAGAGTTTATCTTGCTAAAATGTTGCTCAACAATGGGAGCATTTATACTTGTGTCAGTTTGAATACCTTGAGTAACCACCCTCAGAACTTTCCTTGCATCCTTCTTGGAGAAGAACAGGCTTTTTTTAACTCAGTGAAACAAAAACTTTTCACTCCATTTTAAGCTTGCACACTTTATATATAGGCTTTACATCTCGTTGAAGCAAACAAAAAAATGAAATCAAGGCTTTGGAAAAGACAACAGCTTAGTGCTTTCCCTTTATGTACAATGTTTTGTTCCTCTTCCCTCTTTAGCTTGGCAGTGTTTTGTATCTGCTATCATCTTTGCAATCTTTAGATCCATTGCGACTGTGAACTTGAAAACAGTTCATTAGAAAAACTAAAAGAACTGATGCATCTTCCAAAATGAGACGTGTAAGACAGATAACCTAAATGCAGCACAAACTCTGTAACAGGTTAAAAATGTACATACGTGCATAAAGACAAGCGTCAAGGCATAAGGACTACTAAACTCTGAAAGGGTTTGGGGATATAAGAATAAACTCCTAATAGAACACTCTACTTTAGAACAACAACAAAAAAAAGCATGCCATTTTTAGCCATTAGGAATGTAATGCTTCATGAAGAATAATGCAAACATGTTACAGGCACATTTCCCTTGTACACTCAGGTTGTATTGCAAGTAAATGACTACTACCCTGCACTCTAAGAGATGAGAAGAAAACAGGACCACTAGAGAATCTATCAGAATTTCAGGTTGTGAGCAAGAAATGTCTAAACTTAAGATTCCTGCAGACAAATGGATATTATGGATATTATCAGATATTGAATATTCAAGCACTAAAGTGAAAAAAAAATTAGTTTCACTGAGTCCTTGTGCCTGCAGAAGACTATGAATGTGGTGACACTGCCCTGAGGTGACCAAGGAGCCACCCTTATGTGATGAACAAGCAGCTCCCACCATAATGCCTCTGTTCAAAGCAAGGAATCTGTCTCCACTGAGGTGTGTACAGGTAGTTCAAATGAAGGCAGACTCTCCTCAAAATAGGATGTCCCCAGCTACAGCACAGGGATTCCTCCATCTCCATATGCAGGACCATGATCTACCTTTATAAGAACTTCTTCATGTCCTTTGTGCCCCAAGCACTCAAGCGAGCAGCACTCCCTCCCAAAAAGGCTGTCTTGTATCTCAAGGGCAACATGATCTTTATCTGCAAGATCCATTCTTAATAGGGACAGTGCCTGGAAATACCAGGCAACATGTTATCCAAAGTGTGTTAGGAGAGTAGAGTTGTAAGCCAGCAAAGAAGAGAAAGACCATGAGCAGCACTTGAGGTATAACAAGTCTACCCCTGCCCAAACACCATGTTCAAGCCAGTTAGGAAGAGGTTTCTGTACTCCAGCAACTGCACCCCTTTGCTGACACCAGTTAGGAAATGGATCTAGAAGATGACTGACAGGCATTCTCCACTGCTTCCAGAATAGGCAAATTATAGCAGCCAACTGACACTCTCAATTTCAGATAGACATTAGAACTTAGGTACACACTCATGGTGCACTTCTGTACACAGCTCCAAGTACTGAGAATAAAATGATAATCCAGGAGCATACAAAACATAGGAAGGGCCTTGTGGGGCAGCATAAAAATTTAAAGGTGTATTGGTTTCCAGCATACAATGTGCCATATGCTCTGCTTAAGAATAAGCTTTGACAGTAGGAACAGAAACACTGAAACTACCAGGAAGAAAAACTAGATTTCTAAAATAAAGGATTGGAAATCTTAAAAAAATAAGTAAACAAACAAACAAGTAAAAAAACCAAAACCAAACAGGGAACATGAGAATATATGGCATGGAATAAACAGAAAATGTTATATTCTTCACCACACAATTTAATAATTTCAATTAAGAAAGCCTGTTTTCATGTACGAAGACCAGAGTGAGAAAAGTTATAAGGACATACACAGAGATGGATTCCCTAAGTGACCTTAAAAGGTATAAAACATCCTTCCTGATAGCCCTGATCCTATCTCTGAGAAGAAGGTAAATAGAAGATAAGTATTTCAGCATTAAGTAAGCAAAATTCCTCCTAAAGCCTGTGGGAAGTCCAAATCTGAGTAGAATATGAAACTTCTCCAGCAGTTATCTCCTATGTGAATGACACAACAGGATGGTGCATCCTCCACTATGCTTTCCAAGAGAATGCCAACAGCCCAGAGCATAGGGATACTAGTTTCGGAACATCCTGCTATATCAATAGGTGGGTCAGAAACTAGTAGTAGAAACAACTTCACCAAGACTATAAAGTACCATAGGAAAACCAGCAAGAGGAGGCAAAAATCTCAAGTGTAGAAGATGGTTTATTAATTCAGTAAATTAGATAAAATAAAAATCCTAGGTTTACTTGCTGAAATTGGGTTTTACGGTGACAAAGTTTATATCATTGCAATAGCATCTAGTGACAACTAAAAATGCTATTTCCCTTAAGCTCTATCTGAAGACTTGCTTGTAAAGAGGGTATACTGTGGGAAGGTGTAAGAAAGAGTATGTTTATAACTTATCCTAATTGTTACTTCCAGCCACAATTCCCTTCTTCCAGGGGACACTGTTGGTTCTTTTTTTCTTTAAAAAAAACCAACACCCTATCTTACATTATACATAAACTCAGTTTGGAAAAACGTTTACTACCATCACAACTTTAATCACGAGTATTTTGTTCCTCCACGTGTTGTTGCAGAGTATTGCTTATGGACATTTTTCAACACAGGCCAAGTGAGGCCAAAGGATTGGTATTTATTCTTCTCATTTCAGTATTCTGTGTGTTTATCAGAGGGCTGACTTTGTGTCTTGGACTTAGTTTCATCCATCATTGATTCCCTTCTCCCACCTATTTGTTTTAAGGGGGGCTTAAACAAACATCACTCAGAGTACCACAAACAAACACACACTCTAAAGTATCTGGTAAACCCTGAAAAAAAGGGCATTAAAATAATTCCAACTAGAAACACAATTAATCAGACAGTGTCTGTGTCCATAAAAGCAAACCTAGAAGTACAGTGGAACAGCTTACCTCACTTGCTACAAAAAAGCTAACCTAAATGTAGCTATCAGAGCATTGATTTTTGGCCCATACCACTTCCATCTCTATGAAATGATGCCTCAAGACTCATCAGAAAAAAAACCTCAACTAAAAAAACCAAACAGATGAAAGCATGAGATATGGCTGAGATCTCATCAGATAACCAATCTGTTAACATGGTATGTGTTGTACTTTTACACTTGATGGACTCCTTCATTTTATTTTTAAGACTTAGGTGTTCCAAAAAAAGGTTACTGTCTTCTTGCCCTAATAATTAAAATATGCATACTAAGAAGGACAATACCATTATGCCTGACTCAGGACTTAAAGGAGTATTTCCATAGTTAAGGAAACGGATAAAGTAAGGAAGCATACATTCGCCCCAGTTGGGGAACAGGGTATCTGTTGAATTCCACCCCCCAGAAACACTTGGAAGCTCTAAAAAGTCTCGTTAAAGGAAAGCACAAAATTAGTTCTGTAGTTACAAGTGCAGTAACACTACTGCATATAGTTTACAAAATTGAAACCACAGAACCTCAGTTGTCCTGCAAGGGCAAAAAGTTCCTTTTAATCAAAAGAAAAACAAACATTATGTGTTTCTTTTCCAATTCAAGTGGCCTGTAGGAAAAACAAGCTCAGGCTGCAGGTTAGAAACCATCATTTTTATCTGTGTTTATTTTTATGTAGGCAGTGTAAAAATAAAGGGTGCAAACAGTTCGCCTTATTAACAAAGGGACCTAGACTACGCGCTCCTTCCTCGGGGAAAGGCATTCCCTTATGCCAAGATCATGCATCCATTTAATCCCACCCTCCCCCTTTCTTTCCCCCGGCCTTTTCTTTGGCCTGTGGGGACTTGCGCCCATCAAGAGGGGCTCGCTCCAGCTTTAGGAGGCACTATGTGAGCAATCCCCTTCCGGT